AGGGGACAGGGGAGAGGTGTCGACAGGAAGCTCAGGGGCCACTTCCTGATTGACACTCTCTTTCCAGCAGACGTTCGTTAACAGCTGGCATTCAACCCTGCCCGCCTCTTCCTCATCAAGCTGGACCTGACTCCACTTCCAAGTACACGGCAGTCTTAGCAGCTGTGTCGCCGGGCAGCACAGGAGCCCTACTGTTAAAACGCTCTCCGGAGATCTCATTCCCACGCCACGTCAGTCTCCCACAGCCAACAGCTCAGTGGCTTTCGGGATATTCGTGGGAGCTGGGCCCCCACCACCAGTCAGTTTCAGAACATTTTCGTCACCCCTTAGCGGTCGTCCCCGATCCTTCCACCTCCCCCCTATCCTAGATGACCACCACCCACCCTTGTCTCTACAGAGGTGCCTGTTCTGGACATTTCACAGACATGCAACCATAAACCAGGTGGTCTCTGATGACTGGCTTTAAAGGTTTTTTAGCTTTTCTTTTTTTTAATTCCAGCAAACATGCAGCGTTGCATCAGTTTCAGGAATACACCACAGCGACTCTACAATTCCATCTGTGACTCTGCTCATCACAACAGGTGTGTCCTTGGTCCCCCTTCACCTATTTCACCCAGGTCTTCATTTAAAAAACAAAAAACAAACAAACAAAAAAAAAAACGGGTGCCCGGGGTCTCAAGAGGTTGAGCATCCGACTTCAGCTTAGGTCATGATCTCACGGTTCATGGGTTCGAGCCCCGCATCAGGCTCTGTGCTAAAAGCTCAGATCCTAGAGACTGCTTCGGATTCTGTGTCTCCCTCTCTCTCTCTGCCCCTCCCCCGCTTGTACTCTCTCTTTCTCTCTCTCAAAAATAAACAAAGATTAAAACAAACAAACAAAACAACAAACCTTCTTCCCTATTTAAACTCATCCTCCACAATGGCAGGCTTAAAAGAGGGGGTAAAAAACATAATAACCCCACAGGGTGTGAGAAGAAAACAGCATCACTTCTATTTTATCTCACCATGTAAAAAATTCAGCGTCTATAAAATACTCACCTGTTGCTACATTCAGTGCTACGTGCCCATAACTGACAAGTAAACACAGAGCCGTGCTGTGGGCGTGTGCGAAGAAGCTGGTTACTGATGGCACATGAGCACACGTGTTGGACCCCTAGGCTCTTCCTCCCTCCTGGATGGTGTCATGCCCCTTCCCGAGGTGCCCTCAGTAGCAAATCCCAGCCCTGAGTAGCGCCCATAGGCCCGGCCTGCCTGCCTCTGGCTACTGTCCAGCTCCCCTACCCGTCACCCTGCCACTAGTCATTGTGCTGGTGACACTGCTGCTCCAGGGCTCCTGCACCTGGCTCCCTCAGCCCAGGGGGCTCTTCCCCAGCAGGATGCGCTGGACCACACCCTCCCAAGCAGCAGCTCCCCTTGCTCCTCCCATCCCCCCTACCCTGCTCTCATTATCTTTGATCTGTCAGCTGCCCCCCTCCCACCAGGGCTGGATGTTTATTTGCCTTGTTGACTACGCTCCCCCAGCTCGCGCACGGTGCCCAGCAGTTATGTGAAGAATGAGCCAATCTAACACCCTGGGAACATCCTAGCTCTCCGGCCTCACTTTAATGCACTTTAATGTCTTCAAGGGGGACCCTTTCTGGGACTGCTTCTTACCACCTAGGAGGGAGAGATCAGCACCTGTACAGACTGCTATAGGGCTGAGGCCCTCCTCCGGGTCACTCGCCCGCCTCGCAGCCTCAGCTCCCTAGGGGTGACAACGAGGGCAAAAACATTCCCCTATTTCCAAGGGTATGGACCCCTGGCAAAGACCGGCCTAGCTTTCCCAGGCAGAGTGAAGTCTCTGTGTCCTACTTCTGCATTTCACTCGTGTTTCCCTTCCCCTCCAAGAAGGCATTGAAACTAATACTTCTCAAAGGGCGTGGGTGGACTTTATATACAATCCCACCCTCCCCACCCCCCCACCGTTCACAGCTGTCGTTCACGTAGACGGACCAGTGAATGTTTGTCTGGTTTCAGCATGGCCGGGTGGAGACGCACGGCTCTGCTCCGTCTGGGATCAGCCGCTCGGCCCAGCCGTCTGCCGTGAGGATACTGGCTGTGGTGTGCATTACAGTTCTCACCTGTTCTCCTTCCAATCCCATCATCTTGGGAATCGATGGCCCACATATATCAATGTCCAGAAGGGCGACCTGGGAAACAAGAAGAGACCAGAGCAGTGATGCAACTGAGTGTGCAGCCCTCCAGATGTGCACTACTGGGAAAGAAACGGGGCTTGTGGAAAAGAGGAAGTGCAGAAGATAGAAACGAAGTCAGATGTGGACCAAATGGAATCTCAGGGGAGTTACAGCATGCATCTTCCAGGCGACGGAGACACAGTCGAGAACTCCTAAAGAGAACGCGGCACAGTCCATCAACGCCAATGATTTCAGCACCCGCCCCCGGGTCTGGCCCAACTCCAGGGTGATCTAACAACCCAATGTCCGGTCAAAGATTCGGGTGCAGCCACTGCTCACTGTTCACTCGGCCTTGACCGTGTGCCTGAAGGGGAGGTGGGTATCATTATCCCTGCTTTACAGAAAACGAAACTGAGGCTCAGAGAGGTCCACTGACTTGCTCAGTAAGCAAGAAGAGCTGGGACGTAAACCAAGGTCTCCCGACTCCAACACCGGGCCCCCTTCTGTGACCCCGTGGGGCCTGGAGAGGAGGGCCAGGGTGGAGGCTCTCGCTGACCTCTGACCAAGCTGCACTGCACTGTGATCATGAAAGTTAGTGATGGCTTCCCCTTAACGCCTAACAGGACACTGAAGGTAAGAAGGAAGTCGAGGGAAGCTGTGTGAAGGCTGGGAGGACTCCTCCCACCCCAAACGCCCCAGCTTCTCCACGTGACACAGGACAGGCTGGGAGACGCCTTCAGGAACCCTCTGAAGAGCAGGAGGGTTGGTATTCCTCTCAAGACTGCGACGTCAACAATCCGGAGTGCAGCACCTCCGGGTAACTTTTGAACCTGCTCCAAATCCGCTTCGTGCTTCCTCTTCGCTGCTCCCAGCAGACCCCAGCCTCCACTTCCTCACTCTGCTCACCCTGGATCAGGAACCGGTTCATGATCAGATCAGCCTCTTGGCTCCCCCGCCCCCTGCTGGGCCACCTGGAGAACGCAGCCCAACGATTCTCAAGCTGAGGACCCGGTTTCCTTCCCTTCACACTGGCACTCGAGGCTGGTGGGTGTTAATGATCTAGACGTTTTACCTCAGGGCCTCACGACTCAGGAAATCACACCATCACTGCAATCCTAACAGGCTTTCCTCGCACTCTCAGTTTCTACTCACTCAGTCTCTGCACCCTTTCTTAGGGGAACGATTTTATCAGTTTAGAGGAACCAGGCTCCCCACAACCAAGGGGGCAAATCCTGAGTGCAAAGATGCAGGAATGCAAGAAACACATCCCACGCATTCTCTTCCCTGGTGGTGTCCAAAAAGACTGACATGTCTCTGCTATCCAGACCTCTGGGCGGCCATGTATCCTGTCCCCTTCACACTTCCTTTTGAACCTGTCACTAGCCCAGAACCGATCCAACTAACTCCCTTTCTGCTCAAGCAGAACCCTAGTAGAGACAAACGTGCCTGAGTAAACCTTACTGGGGCCTCTGTGGAAGGTTCTAGAAGCCTGATGAGACAAGCAGGCTTTGCCACAACGATCTCCCAGCCAGAGACTGGGGGAACAGGGTACCATCAGGATCCCAAACTTCCCCTTAAGAAGAGGTGATGGGGACACCTGGGTGACTCAGTCGGTTAAGCGTCTGACTTCCGATGAGGTCACGATCTCACAGTTCGTGAGTTCGAGCCTGGTATTGGGGTCTGTGCTGACAGCACAGAGCCTGGAGCCTGCTTCGAATTCTGTGTCTCCCTCTTCTCCCTGCTCCTCCCCTGCTCACACTCTGTCTCCCTCTCTCTTTCTCACAAAAATAAACCTTAAAAAAATAATAAAATAAAATTAAAAAAAAAAAAAAAAAAAAGAGGTGATGGGAGGTAAGCTGTAGCCCTGATGGCATTCCATCCAGCCACCCGTGTGGACTGTTCTCTCCACCCCAACCGTCATAGCTCCTGATCCCAGAAGCCAATGTTCAGGAGACCATCGGACCCCTTCCAAGCTCTCAAGTCTACAAGCCCCGGACACATGCCTTATTCAGTCCAGAAGCCCCCAGAGAGGGCCCGCTAATGCTACAATCCCCTTTCAGATCACAAAGCAAGATGACCACTTGGTCCCTTGTGGCAGTTGGTGACTCTGCCGCGGAAAGACAGTGTGTGAGCTTTTGAGGTCTCCCAGCTGAGGCGTCACTTTCGAAGCTTCTCCTGCTCCCTTCACCACGACTCACAAAACCCCAGACTGCCGGTGGTCAGTGGGAGCGGGGGGTGCGTCGTCCTAGTTCTGTTCCCTCGTGGCTCAAGACCCTTGGCTAACAAGTTGTTCGGACACCTGCCTGCCTTAAGTGCTAACACAGAACAGTCCTGCTGAGAGTCAGGGATGCGCTTCCCCGAGACAGTGGACAGAAAAGGGACCAGAACTGCCCCCCCTGAATTTAGGGAAGGAAGGAACATGTGCTATTTGAGATTAATCAACACAATAGATGCAGAGTCTACTGTCCGTCTGTCAACAGCCTCCAGCCTTTGGAGACAGTGACGTTCCCAGTCATGAGAAGGATCTATGGGGAAATACACTTTCCTAAGTGCAGACTTTTTTTTTTTTTTTTTGGGTAAGCCACCAGTGCATCAAGAAATCCAGCCTATCAGCCCTATTTCCACACTAGATGGTGTGTTTCCCTTCAGTTGCGGAGTCCAGACAACTACTTCAGAACGTAACTAGTGGAAGCATCGTTGTGTGTGTAAACAACAGTCTCCTTCCAAGTGGTTACTTGCCTCTGGCCTGGTTAAAGCCCGTCTTCGGAGAGCCGTTTATGAATATGCCTGACCGCTTCTAAAAGCAGAGAGCATTCTGGTTAATGTGGATATTCTCTCAGGGAAACCGTCACAGTTTTTGGCTGACCAACTGGCCAATGTAAATGTGATCCTCAAACGGCAAGGGACTGACAGAAGAATCGGTCAACAAGTAGATTTCGAACCTCCTCAGCACGGTGCTTGGGGTAGGCTAAAGTTGAAATCGTCACCACCTCCCCCTCCTGTTCCACTGGTGGATGAAGCAGTAAGGATGGCCGTCACAGAATTTACTGAGCACTTCCCACGCCATCAGCCACCATACTGAGCCCTTCACATTTACACCCATTACTTCCTTCGGTCCTGACGCTCATTTTACAGAGAAAACGGAGGCACAGAGCCTGGGAACCTGCCCGAGGTCACAGAAGCGGTGTGGACGAAGCTGTGACGGGAACCCAGGCAGTCTGACTCCAGAGCCGGTATTCCTGCCCACCACACTCTACGGCACCCACCACCCTGGAGCTCCGATTCCGCCCTTTCTCCAAAAGCGGTAAGGCCCTGCTTCTTCAGTCTCCTGGACTCTCCCTTCATTTGTTCCCTGGCCACTGTTCCACCCACTGCCCTACTCCGGGTCCTCCAGGAGCAGCCACAAACACCGCCTCCCGCCTGGCTTCCTGTCCCCTCTAATGATACTCAGTCACATGCTTGGCCGACTTCAGCGCAGGGCTCTTAACACAACGCTCAAATCCTACCTCTTTGCTCGCCAAATGTCTTACCAGGTCATTCAAAGCCTCCCTGGTCTGGCTCAGCCTCGTCTGTGGCTCCCTTCCCTGGAGGAACCCCACCAGACTGCCTGCCACACACACTTCCCTCAGTCCCTGCCGGAGTCCAGAGGCTGCCTTCTCCAAGCCCAGGGGTCCCTCCAAGTTCTCTCTCCTATGTCCCAAATCCCTAGAGCACATCTTGGAGGGTGGATGCCAAATTCCAGAGAAGCCCACCTCAGCCACTGGAGGCCGGCAGGAACAGCTCCAGCACCAGCAAACGATCAGAACAAGAAGAAGGAAGAAGGGAGAATTCAGAGCCTGGGTGAGTCAGAGAACACCGAGCGTTTCAGATGACCCAGCCCAGCCGCTTCACTCCCGGCCTGTGGCCTCCCCAAGGGTTCAGCCTTCCTCCAAAGAGGCACTTCCTCTGCCAGCACCGGTGCTTCTGGTGCTACAAACCAAACTGGGGGCCAGTAAACTACAATCTGGGTGCCAAACCCAGCCCGTTACCTGTTTCTGTACAGCCCACAAAGTAAGAACGGTTATTACGTTTTTAGAAGGGTGGAGAGGGGGAAGAAATTACACAGTTTCATGCTATAAAATTCAAGTACCGGTGACAATAAAATTGTATTAGAACATGGCCATGTTTGTTTCTTTACAGATTGTCTATGGCTGCACTTATGTTTAAGGGCAGGACTAAATACTTGCTACAGAAATGATTTAGTCTTTGTAGGCCTTCCTATGGCCTGCGAAACCTAAAATATTCACATTTTGTGTAAAATGTTCTTTACAGAAAAGTTTGCCAACCCCTGGAGCAAACTCTAATTTCTTTTTTTTTGTTTTGTTTTTTGTTTTTTGTTTAATGTTTATTTACGTTTGAGAGGGACAGAGACAGAACGCAAGTGAGTTAAGGGCAGAGAGAGAGGGAGACACAGAATCCGAAGCAGGCTCTGAGCTGCCAGCACAGAGCCCAACGTGGGTCTTGAACTCCCAAGCTATGACATCATGACCTGAGCTGAAGTCGGCTGCTCACCGGACTGAGGCACCCAGGCGACCCGCAAACTCTAACTCCTTAATCCAGTGATTTGAAAAATGTATTCCTAGAGTCCCTGGATACTGGTGAGGTGTCTCAGTGGCCCCCGTGTATACTGAGGGCATGTCAAAATGGTAGGCTTGATCTCCTACCCACTGTAGCTGGCTTTTTTGCAGAAATGAAGCCTTCTGTTAAGATCTTACGGTGGTATTTCACACTAACATAGAATGGTTTATCTCCTACAAGGATAAAACGCTGAAATTCACCCAGCTTTCAGAATTTAAAAATAAACACATGGCAGTTTTGAAACTTCGATATTAAATTAATTGCACTTCTACATTCCCTTCTGGCACTTTTTTATTTTTTTTTTTTAAGTCAAAAAGCGGAGGCCCATTTATCAGAGTTAGAAAAGAAATCTGAACTGAAACTCAGCCCTCGTATATAAAAAAAATTACTCCACATTCAAAACGCACGAAGAGAAAACTAATACCCAAAGATAAGCCCATGTACGAAAGGAGGCACAAAGACCACGGGAAGAACGGAGAGAAGAAATGGCTTTCAACACGAACAAAATACAACTGTTTTTCCACGTAGGCCCTGAAGAGTATCCTGATGCACCAGAGCGCAGCTCTCTGACCCACAGAACGCACAGGGCCCGGCAAGCCACAAGCCTTCAGCGAGGGCTGTCGTTTCGGGGTCAACCTACCAGAGACTTGGAGTCTAAGAGATACCCAGGCCACTCTAGTAACTCTGATGTGTTAAGTATTTATTGGAATTTTAAACAAAACTTCATTCTAGAAAAAACCAAAAACACAGAATGTGTTCTGTGTTAAAACACACACACACACACACACACACACACACACAAGTCATAAACCACAGTACCCATGGTTTTATTAGGCATAAAGTGGCAACCAAAGTGAATAGGAGGGTCATTTTTCTAAGGTCACTGCAAAATTATCTCGACTCCCATGAATAATCCAACGTATTTTTAAAAATCGCAGGGACTGTAAATTTCCGTTTGAACTTTGTGGTAAAGACATTTTTCCCCCCTCTTCCTCACCACATCACACCTTTCATTAAGGCTGAAATCCAGAGAGCAGGCCCAGGCAGCTGGGAGTTTTCACACCCATGTGTACACTTGGCCAAGAGTGAGTGGCCCAGTTCAGGGGTTGGCAGACGTTTTCTTCCTCAAGGGCCAAATAGAAAATACAGTTGACCTTTGAGCAAGACAACCCCTGTGCAGTCGAAAATCCATACAGAACCTTTGACTCCCCCCAATTTTAAGTACCAACAGCCTACTGCTGACCAGAAGCCTTACACATTAATAGTCAATTAGCACTAACTTTTGTGTTACATTGTAACTATATTCTTACACTACAGTCAGCTAGAGAAAAAAAGGTTACTAAAAAACTCATGAGAAAGAGAAAATACATTTATGGCACCATAAAAAACCCACATGTAAGTGGAACCATGCAGTTCAAACCCCTGCTGTTCAAGGATAAACTGCATTTTAGGCTTTGTGGGCAAAATCAAGGATGCTATTTACCACTTTAAAAGCAACCATTTTTAAACGTAAACACCATTCCAGCTCACAGGCCATAAAAAGAGAGGGGCTGTATTTGCCCTTGGGCTATAGTTTGTAGCCTCCTGGCCTAGAAACAGGCAGAAAGGGGCTAATAAAGAGAAAGAAGTCTGAATTTGACAAAATCATCAGCACACCAAGAGATTAAATGTCCGCCTGCTATCCATTTTCATAGCTGGAGAACCTAACAAAATACTTCACTTCACTGTTTAACAGCTATGCTTTCCTACTTCTCTCTGCAAGGATCTAGATGCCAAGGAAGCCAATCCAACTTAGTCTAAGGAAACCGTTCTCTACAAACCCTCAGAAACGCTCACACAGGAGTCTCTCCCAGTTTTGCCCAAGGTCCCACCTGTGTGTTTTCATCCTCTGCTAGGCCGTGGGCAAGGTGGGCGCTGAATGTGCTTTTTCCAACACCACCTTTCCCGGATAACACCAAGATTTTGTGTTTCACGGTCTTCAATTTTTCTTTGATTTCTTCTATGGCTGCAAAGAAAGCACATCAGGTGATGAAGCCTCTGACCAAAGGGGCTTGCCAGAGCTAAATCCTTGGGGCTCTTTCAAGGGATTGTGGGTGAAATACAACCTAGCTAACGGCGATAATAAGGACTGCCAAGAAAATAAGGCAATTAGCACATCTGAAATCTCGTTTATCGGTTGACCGGTCTGTGTCCTCTTCCTAGAACATCAGCTCCAGGAGGACAGAGACTGTCTGCAGCATCCACGGCTACATTCCCAGCTCTAGAAGAGCTTCACCCACATTAACACGTCCCAACTGGGGACAAAATCTGCCCGGGAACATTTTTGGTTGTCACAAGGAAGGGGTGCTATTGACATGTAGTGCATAGAGGCCACGATGCTGTGACATGTCTAACAACGGGCAGGACGGTCCCCCACCCCCCAAAGAATTATCCAGATCCAAAGTTCAGTAGTGCCAAGGCAAAGAAACTCTCACAAATAGCAGGCACTTAGGATGACCACGGATGACGATCACATACTACACATTTACTACACATTCAATGTTTCACCTTCCTGCAAATCCCTAAAATACCCCCATGAGAGAACTACTGCCCCTACACACACTTATTTAAAAAGTAGGCTCCTGGGGCGCCTGGGTGGCTAGGTCGGTTAAGCATCCGACTTCAGCTCAGGTCATGATCTCACGGTCTGTGAGTTCGAGCCCCACGTCGGGCTCTGTGCTGACTGCTCAGAGCCTGGAGCCTGTTTCAGATTCTGTGTCTCCCTCTCTCTCTTCCCCTCCCCTGTTCATGCTCTGTCTCTGTCTCAAAAATAAATAAACGTTAAAAAATATATATAAAAAAATAAAAAATAAATAAAAAGTGGACTCCAAGCCCAACGTGGGGCTTGAACTCATGACCTTGCGATGGACAGTCGCAGGCTCTAGTGAGCCAGCCAGGTGCCCCTTGCCTGTTTTTATGGAGAAAATGGAGGCTCAGAGAAGTTAAGAACCTCGCTCAAGGTCATACTGTTTGTGGGACCCAAGAACCAAACCCAAGTCTCTTTGAACACCTTCAAAATTCTCCCAGCCTCCTGCTTTTTAAGATCTTTCTGTAAGTCCCCGGAGTCTTCCCCCACCCTCCCATTTATCCTTCGTACTGATTGCTGTGATAAGTTATTTGCTTGGTTGCTTATTGTGGGTCTCGCCTGTTAAACTAACATCCACTGGGGCAGTGACCCCGTCTGTCTCATTCACAGTACCCCCAACACAGAACATTGTGCCCAGGGGGTGATGGATGCATATTTGTTAAATGAACGCGAGAATGGCTCCTTTTTCAAAGGAAGACGATGTTGTCCAAAGAATAAGCCCGAGCCCCGCCTCCCCCACTCCCCAAGTTCAAAGTCTATACCCTACTCCTCGGGCTGAAGGCCTCCTCCGACCACTGCCGGTCACTGTCACTCAAACCTCCGGCCCCGCCCACGCTTCGCCCGGACTCCGCTCACTGATCCTTCAGGCTCCGCCCCAGCCCGCTACTTCCCTTTACTCTTCCATGACTGAAGGCCACGCCCCAACCCTGACTTTTCCACGCCCCGCCTCCTCTGGGACCACCCCTCCTAACAGGCATCCTGGTCCCGCCTCTGTCACTCAACCTTTGGGCCGTCCCTCATCACCATCAACCATCAGCTGTCCCCGCACGCCCCACCTCTTCCCGGCTGGCGCCCTTCACTTCCGGCTCAGGTCTCGCCCCTTCCTCACCTGGGTCCGGAGCGGCGCCGGCTCCGGAGGCGCAGAGCCGCTGGTTGGGGCACCCCTGACATGAGGCCCCTCGGCCCGCCTGGGCGCTGCCGGTCCCGGGACAGCCTGCATGGGGACAAGGTCACAGTTAGAGGGGTTCCTGTCCCTCCAGCCCCCCTATCCATGCCCCCTCCGCGCGCTCACCCTGAGGCACCTCCTCCATTCCGGCTGTCTTCGACGTCTGCGCGGGTCACCGGAAGCCGCCCTTACGTATTTCCGCCCCTTTGAGCCCAATCTGACTCTCCAGCCACGCGAAATAAGTCTCAGCAAGAGGGCTGTGTGCATGCGCAGATCTTGTCTGAGCCGCTGCGCGTTCTGAGCTGCAGAGATCCTTTGGGAATTCTTCAGCACCTATCTCCTGGGAACAAAGGCATTATCCTACGTGATCTCAATGCCATTTCATACCCAAGAAATACTGATGCAAAATTGTTAGCTAATATACACTTTATATTCAAATTAAAGAGCCATTTAATCCACGGTCCCAGATAAAACTTGCCCTCCACATCCCCATCCTGGATCCAATCAAAGGTCGTATCTTCCTTTTGTTCTCTTTAGCCTCTTTTAAGTTGTTTTCCTTTTTTTAAATTAAAAAAGTGTTTGAATTTATAAGAGCGAACCCCCCCTCCCCAGGTACACATGAAACGGAGAGCGGGGTGGGGGGCATCCCAAGTAGGCTCCTCACTGAGCCCAAGTGGGGGCTCGAACTCACTAGCTGTGAGAGCGTGATCTCAGCCGAAATCAAGAGTTAGGGGGCGCCTGGGTGGCTCAGTCGGTTGAGCGTCCGACTTCACTCAGGTCACGATTTCACGGTCCGTGAGTTCGAGCCCTGCATCAGGCTCTGTGCTGACAGCTCAGAGCCTGGAGCCTGCCTCAGATTCTGTGTCTCCCTCTCTCTCTGGCCCTCCCCCCCATTCATGCTCTGTCTCTGTCTCAAAAATAAATAAATGTTAAAAAAAAAAAATTAAAAAAAAAAAAAGTCAGACAACAGACTAAGCCACTCAGGTGCCCCATTAGTCTTTTCAAATAGAGAACATCCTTCCTCCTTCCCATGTTGCCCTTGTTTTGTCTTTCAGGACATTGATACATTTGGATAGTCCAGGCCAATTGTCTTATAGAATACCCCATTATCTTGATTTGTCTGATCCCCTGCCCTTATGATTAGGTTCAGGTTAGAAGTTTTCGGCAGAACATACTTGAGTAATGTGCTTTATCGTTGTATCACAGCTCGATGCCCCGAATTCCCAGTGGGAATGTGAGGGCTTGGTCACCTGGGGAAGCTGCTGTTACTCCGGCAAACGGTACCCTTTTCCATTTATAATGAATAAAGATAGGGAGGTGATTTGTTCAGAGCATGTGACTAGCCTGCTCATCAACGTGCCACTCTGGTTTTAGCATCGTTATTGCCTAAATCTGTTATACCTGTGTTCCAAAATTGTGCCTTTGGAGGAGAAAAGCTCACGGTCAAAATAGTTTACTTTTCCTGAGGTCACACAGTTCATGGCGAGGGAGCCAGAGGGATGAACCTCGGCCTCCCAGCTCCAGAGCCTGCAAGGTCATCCGTAACATATGCCAGGTGACTCCATGCGAGGTGCTGGTGCCACCAAAGTGCCCTGATTCCTGTTGCTCTGGTGCCCGTCTGGTTGGGACAGCAGATAATAAAGCAGGGAATTACAGAATTATAAATGCTGTGGCAGAACACAAATGGGGAAGAGTCAGGGAGGAATTCCTTAAAGCTGAGCAGGATACATAGATTAGGACAGGGTGGTGGCATTGACAAGTGGGGTCTCAGACAGAATGAACAGTGTGAACAAGCCCAGAGAGGAATTCTGACCTCTTAGGCAGGGACTGTTGGGATCTCCAGTTTGCAGGTAAGACAAGGTCAGAGAGAGGGACTTGCCCGAGGTCTTAGAACCAGGAGGCTGCACAGCCAGGCTTCCAACAGAGTAGGACCCGGGCTCTTGACCACTAGGCCACATGTTGGGACCCAGGATGCAGATTCCTCTTTGTGAGACTCAGAGAAGCGAAGGGACTTGGCCCTGGGCCTCCCAGCCAGCAGGGCTCACTCGACCCTTGTGACCACAGGCCCTTTTCCCCTCGGCCACACAGCAGAGGGCTGAGGCCAGCCCCCCACTTCAGATCTTCCTTACTGATGTCCCCCAAGACATCTCCAGCATATTCCTCCCAGCTCTTTCCATTAGCCCTACTGCTTCGTAGCTCTCTTCTGTCTCTCGTGACCCAGGGGCCCGCCCACGCAGCGAGTCTGTTCGGTGGCAGCGAAGAAAGATCTTCTGTTCTTCAACCCCTGTCTCGCTACTCATTGCTCACCATCAGGCTATAGAAACGATCTCCTTCCACACTAAAAAGTGAAATCGGGGCGTCTGGGTGGCTCAGTTGGCTGAGCGTCCGACTCTTGATTGTGGCTCGGGTCATGATTTCATGGTTTGTGAGATAGAGCCCCGCATCAGGCTCTGTGCCGAGCAAGAAGCCTGCTTGGGACTCTCCCTCCCTCCCTCCCTCTTGTACTCCAACTAAACTCTTTTGTTTAAGTAAAATCAAATAAACCTCTCAGCTTTGCTCTAAGTCTCTCCTCCTGTCCCCAAACTCCTGTCTCACCTGGGATGGAATTTTCCATCTGTGGGGGGGGGGGGGGAGCAGATGGGCAGCAACTAGGCTGCAAAGCAGATTCCCAGGCCCATCCTGACCTCCTCAATCAAAAACTTCAAGGGCTGGGCCAGGGAGTCCTCCTCTTTACCCACTCGCTAGGTAGTAATTATATTCACTAAAGCTTGAGAACCACTTCTGAAGACGAGTACACCTCAACATTCAGTTCTTGGCCCATTTCCGGTCACACTGTCCACATCCTCCCAGGATGACCAGCTTTATGCTGATGGCATCCTCCACTATCCAGTAGGAAACATTCTCCAGTCTTCGGCTCGTTTCTTCCTAAGTTCAGACACATGTCTCCCAGTCAACACCTGATGGATTTTACTCCATGGGTGTCCCTCAGCTGTAACCAACTTCCATCCACAAGTTTTTCCCCCAAACTAGTTCCTCCTTCCGGAGTTCTGATCTCGGAGAACAGTCCCACCACTGCCCTATGAACTGGAGTCCAAAATCTGAGCATCAGCCTTGCTTTCTTCTCACCATCTCCCTTGTATCAGTCATCCACTGCTGTGTAAAGAGTCACCCCAGATATATGTAGTGGTTAAAACAATGGTTTATTTCTCACGGGTCTTCCGTTTTTATCTGGGCTCACTCGTGTGGCATCGTTCAGAGGAGAACGGAGAAGATGCTCAGGTGCGCCTCCATTTCCCTCCACACGGCCCCCGTATCTCTACACGGTCTCTCATCATTCAGTGGTCTTAGCCTGGGCGCCTTCCCACGGCAGCTGTAGCAGTCTGCAAACAGGTGCAGGGTCACTTTCCCACACCGTGCTGGTCACATCAAGTGACAAGGACAGACTAGGTTCAAGGGGCAGAGAAACAGAGGCCACATCTTGATGGGTAGAGTGGCAGGTGCATAAAAGAAATGGCGGTTGGGGCGCCTGGGTGGCGCAGTCGGTTAAGCGTCCGACTTCAGCCAGGTCACGATCTCGTGGTCCATGAGTTCGAGCCCCGCGTCGGGCTCTGGGCTGATGGCTCAGAGCCTGGAGCCTGTTTCCGATTCTGTGTCTCCCTCTCTCTCTGCCCCTCCCCCGTTCATGCTCTGTCTCTCTCTGTCCCAAAAATAAATAAACGTTGAAAAAAAATTTTTTTAAAAAAAAGAAATGGCGGTCAAGACTGGTGGCCATCGCTGGAAACATTCTTGAGGTCTCCCTTCAGGTCCGATCAGGGATCAAGTCCCATGGCACACACCTGTGTGTGACGCGATGGCCTCCCTGCCCAAATGCCCCAGTCCCTCCCCCCTTGGGGCATCTGTGCCCTCCCACTGTGAACAGGGCCTTCTCTTCCCGGACTCTGTGCTCAGGCATGTGACTTACTTTGCCAACGTGATGTGTTAGCCAACGTGACCTAACACAAAACAGACATTTGCCCGTTTTCCCTTTCTTGCCCCTCTGCCATCGCCAGGAGAACACATCTGGGCTGGTCTGTGAACGGTAAGATGTGGGACAGAGCCACCTACCCAGACCCACAGGTGACCACGGATGCGGGAGTGCGGAAGGACCATCCGGTCGACCCCCAGACTCATGAGCCAAATAAACACTAGTTGTTTTGAGCCCTCCAGGTTGGGGGAGCAACAGACCCGTGATGTCTCCTTGCTGCCTTCCTCCCAGACCTCATCCTCCTGGGCCTTAGCAGGCCTCGCTAGGCTGTGCCTAGGCCGGGATGAACACCCTCCAGACCGCAGAGGCTCAAGGCAACAGTTTATTTCTTGCTCCTCCTACTGGTACACCTTCACTGGCAGAGACCTGTTGGTTGTAGTTCCTCGACGATACAGAGGACAGAGGCCCGACCATCTCCTGTCGACACTGTCTGAACACAAGCCTCTAAAGATCGTGTGATTTGGGGGCGGCTGGGTGGCTCCGTCGGCCAAGTGTCCAGCTTCAGCTCAGGCCGTGATCTGACGGTTCGTGGGTTCGAGCCCCGCGGCGGGCTCTGTGCTTGCGGCTCGGAGCCTGGAGCCTGCTTCGGATTCTGTGTCTCTGCCTCTCTCCCTGCCCTTCCCAGCAACCTGTTCTCTCTTAAGCGCGCACTCTCTCTCTCTCTCTCTCTCAAAAATAAACATAAAAAAAAAAAAAAAAGAAAAACAGATAGCATGATGTACACACTGCTTCTGAAATGCTTCCAGCCAGAAGTGTCCTCTATTTGCATACCTTCCGTTCCAACGAACACATGGTCATACCCAAAAAGGTGTGGGGAGTGTGGTCAGTCGCGTGTGCTGGAAGGAGAGGAAACCCAGACCGGCACGGAATCATCTCTGTGGTTTCTCGGGGTTTCTCTCCTACACGTCTTACGGTCCTTTCCCCTTACAGTTCAGACTGGGTTACTCTGCTACTCTGACACCTTCAATGGCTCCCTATGGCCCAGGCTAGCACCAATCTGGATGTGGTTTTCAGTGGCCTCCACGACCAAGTTTATTCCTCCGGCCCCACTTCTCGCCGGGTGCCAGTGTGCATGCCAAGCTCTATCTAAAATGTCTCTCCAGTAGACATTTCCCCGGGCA